GCCTGTGATCCTGAATGACCACACAGTCATGCTCCTGACCACACTCTTTGATAATGCATTCCTTGGGCTGTGTCCTTGACTCTTATGCCAGAAGGTTTATACGTCTTCTGCTAGCACAGATGAGCTATTAGTTCTAGTGAAGTGGAAGAAAATTTCCTTATAGGGAATTGAGACTAGGATAATATGGATAGGGTGGGAAGAGATTGTTGTAGAACACAGCTGTGTTTTTAGCCAGAAATATAACTGATCCTACCTGCCAGCACTGTGGTGGATGTAAGGCTGCTTTAGGTGGCATTTCCAGTTGGCAGTGCTCAGGTGGCAGCAGCATAAGAAGGTGTGCACAGGGAATTTTGCTCTCTGTGGCGCTTGTGCCAAGCAGAGCTTAGTGTCACATCTGTGTGTTACCTCTGAATTGTGCTCCTGTATGCAGTAATTTCTGCTGATGTTTCTCTCTGATGATTTGCCCTGTTTGTGCTTCAGCAGAAGCAATGGCTGGCGTTAGCCCCTCTGTGGTGCCAGGAATGAATGAGGAGTTCCTTCTGAATCAGGAGGCGTTGTATTCTCTATGACCAAAATTAAGATTAACTATTCAAAATAGGAAGAAAATTCTCAGCAAAGAAATATTCTTCATTATTTTTAACTTAACCTCGCACAGTATGTAATCCCCTGGCTGGAGATCTACAGAGATCACAGTAAATCACGCTTCCATCATTCCCCTCTTTGAATTCCTACAATCTTACTCTGGCAGAGTGATCTGTTTTGGAGGATCGTTCCTCCTCCATTTTGGCAGTCTGAAGCCCAGTTCAAGTCAGAAGATTTCAACAATATTTTGCCACCATCATATTTTTCAGGTCCATAACCTCAGCACGTTTGATGTTCAGAAGCCATTCGTGCTATATAGAGTGTATCTAGTAAAAATTGCATTAGCAGAAAGACCATTCAGCCCATTAACATCAATCATACTCTCCTTTTTGTTTTTAAATGCTGCCTTCATGCTTACAGCATGCTCTGCCAGTTGCATACAGAACGCAAATGCTTTCCTCATTCTTATCCATTGCTTCCACTTGGCAACGACAAAGCAGTTCTTTGAATGGTTTCAGGGTTTATTCCACAACTTACTGCAGAATTTCAGATAATCTAGCAGATGGCATTGTCATCGTTTTTCCATCCTCACAGAATGAAAATGAACAAGCACGTGGTATTTCCAATACGTCTCCATTGAATGCAGGATTTTTTTAGACACCATGAAACAGTGTTATCTGCTTTGGTTTAGGGAGAGAGGTGGAAATGTGAAATGTATCCTATCTACTGTCCTACATTAATTCTATGGAGAATAGATGGGTAACCACATAATCAGCGTGCTTGTGTTTTGTACTGTGAGCTCTGCCCACTGCAAAGCAGGAACAATTTCAGCATCAGAGCATAAGAGCACGGAATTTTCATTAGAGAAATTAGCTGGAGCTGCTGAAGTACCTAGAAATCAGTTCACATTTACAAACGCACAGCAGATGTATCCTTTGGCAGAAGATTTCTGCAGTCAGTAATTTGCCATTCATCAGGGATTGCCTCTGAAATCTGTGATCCAAGCTAGGGTGCGGATGACATGGAAGGATAAATTTAGACGTGGCTGAAAACAATTATTTTGAGTAAGCCTGTAGCCAATGAGAGTAAGATTCCTTCTCCTATTCCTCTCCTCCCCCCTCATTCACCTCTTCCAGAGAAGAAGGAGGAGACTTTGTAGGCATAACTTAACCTGTTTTGCATGCAGAGGATGCTTTGATTTAGTTCTTGCTGCTGTAGGGTCTTCTCAGCATAGTAGGAAGTAGCTTTTGAATGTGCTATCTTCCTTCAGCATTAGCATCAGTTGAGCTTGTATTGCAAAACGTGCTAGAAGGGAAACGATGAAGTTTTCTTTAGCTCCAAAAGCAAAACTGGCTGTAAAAAGTTTGCTTCTCCCTGACCTCTTTCAGCTGGGGGATAACCTCAGGCTGGGTGAGCTGACTCTAATGAGAAACACTGCTTGCTTTCTTAGGTCTCTCTGAAATATCTAAGTGAACTTCCCAGCTGCGTGCTGTAGTGCAGTTTTCAGCAGCAGTTGGATGGCAGCTGCTGGTGGTTGCTCTCAGCCCTGTGCCTAACTGGGAACCAGCAGCACAGCCTGAGCCGCCCCTCAGTCACTCCACCCTCGAACAGCTTTGATGTTTCCCACTTTGAGGACAACAGAGCTGTTTGTCCAATCCGGTGTGGAAGCATAGAGAAAGCAATGCCAACTGGTCTTTTCAAAACCTATCAACAAAAGCATCATTTAACCAATTAGAGCTGTTTTATTAGAAACAAAATGACATTAATCTTGGCTGACAAACTTGCCTCTACTAAGCTTCAGCTTGCTGTGGTTATAAACAGCTCCAATTAAAAAAAAAAAAAGAGAGAGAGATAAAATAGCACTTGTTAGATGATTGATCCCTTCAGATGGTGTCTTTTGAGGTTTTTTTTTTAGTGATATAGTTTATTTTGGGGCTGTGCCTCCTTGTGCATAAATTCAGCACTTTTGTAGCTGCATGCTGCAAGATATGGGTATCCCTAAAGTATCTTGCAACTCATTTCACACTTTTTGGTGTGGTTTTTTGGGGTTTTTTTTTGGGGGGGGGAGGGGAGGAGGAATTACTCCAATTTTTCTATAAAGTGACAGAAAGAAGCACGCTGTTCTTTGGCTGCACGGCGTGCTGGTGTTGCTTCTTGTGCTGCTCTCATATTAAGGTGGACGAGGACGGAACTGAGTGTGAAGGGACATTAGAAAACCAAGCTGAAGAGTTGTAAGCAGCAATACTGTAAACTGCAATTGCAAAAATAAAATAGCAAGCACTTTGGAAATAGGGAATTTTATCTTATTTACTCCGTGGTAATTGCTGGTACTTGAGTGCCATCAGCTGCGAGCCTGTGTGTGATTGACAGCACAATTCTAGCCAGAGCAGCCAAAAATAGCCCAGGATTTGAGTCATTTTTGTCTCTTTTACAATCTAATACTGCCACAAAAGCTAGCGTAGTGTGTAGAGAAATTGGACTCTCTTATAGATAGACTAGGGTAATGGGTCTAATTGGCCAATGCTGAGGGAAGGCATATTAAGAAAGCACTTGATGTCACTGACTTAAGCAGTTCTTGCCTGCAGTTAGGTAGAATGAGCTCCTTTTCAGTTTGTCGTTCATTGATATTTCTGCAATTAACTTTTATGCCTCAGTCCTTGCTGGAGTAAGGAGGCTGACAGAGGGAGGAAAAGGGGGGGGAGCAACAGCATTCAGAACCTCACTGCTCTCAGGAGGAACCTCAATAAGCAGAGAACTGCAATTCTTAGTAAACTTTCTGATCAAAATCCTGTGCTGGTGGGCCAAACGAGTTTGGAATGGCTTGAAATTGCTGCTTAAGCATCAGTAGATGCTGGATTAATCTGTAGCCTGTCACTTATGGTGCTGCCAACGTGCTTGTTGAGACAGGAAGGAGAAAGCATTTCTTCAATACAGAATGCAGAAGGAAGCCATACTTTCCTGAAAATCTCCAACTTTCATTTCAAGCCTCTTTCTTGGAGAACTGTGGTGGTGTTTCCAAAGCCCTGATAGCTGCTCAGGACTACATCAGTGGTGCAGATCTGCAGCATCAGAACGTTTGTGACTAGTTAGTACTAATTGCAATTTTCATTTGGTGCTTTTAGGTGGCACTGTGTCTGTGGCAGACACATTAGCAGCAAAATAACTGGGCAACACAGTAGGTCTGCTTGTGACCATTCTAATTCAAAATTAAAGTGGCTTTAATTGGATTTAGCTTATTTTGCTCCCAGAGTGAATTCAGGTAAATCAAATTAAGGTTAATTTGGTGTAAGGGTGTGGGCAGGCATCCTCATTAAGGGCTCCTTGGAGCACCTGAGAGCACAACTGCCCAGCTGCTCCTCAGCACCCTTCTGCCCTCACTGTGCTCACAGAATGGGGTGCTTGCTGGGCTCACACTGTGGTAGGTCATTTCAGATGAATTTTCTCACCTCAATTAGCAGTTCAGTCTGTTGGCTGATTGCATTGACGTGCATGGGAGATGTGGTCACGGTGCACTTTGCTGACCCTGCACTGGGGAGCACAGCCTTCATGTGATGCTGTAACAAGGAGCTGGAAAGTTACACCATAAACAGCTCCAGCTCTTTGTAAATAAGTACCTGCCATACCCCTAGAATGAACGCTCACAGGGTGCTTTGGGGAGGCCCTTAGGGTCCTTATTACAGGATCATAATTGTTGAGAAGCAACGCTCTTATGTATACTGGAAATTAATTCTGATTTTGAGACTAGCTTCCTAATTTACAGGAGGAATGTCGGGGCAGCAGAATAGAGATAGAAATAGCAAACCAGCTAACAGTTACAGCAGCAGCTACTGCATCTTTGGGTAAAGAATGGAGGTCCCATAAACTATAATCTCACAACTCTAGCTTGGGGTTGTTTGCTAAAGAATAGGTCCCAAAGGAGAGGGATTTGCATCCTGAATAACCAAGTATCAGTGTTAAAGTAGAGAAAAGAAATGAGTTCAGCGAAATGTAACATCATCTGTGAATGAGGCATGTTAGATGAAGCAGAAAAGAATGGAAAATTTTGACACTTCTGTCATGATTGTTTTGGAAGTGTTTCACTGATTAAAAAAAAATTTAACGCTGAATCTTAAAGAATGTAAAATAAATTTGATCAAACTGCATTCAGCTGTGACCACCTGGTCTTCCATTTAAGCAGCAGTATGAGACTAAATGAAGGTAGCAGCTCTCCAAGAAAATCTGGGGTGTTCCAGAAAGTGTCCCTGATATAATGACCCACCTTCTATGGCTTCTGCTTCCTCCCTAATAAATACTCACTAGATATTAATTGCCCCTCTCCTGTGCTGACGACGAGTTTAATTCATCTGGGATAATGAATACAGTTCCAGTAATCCAAATTAAATTCATTTTCTTATTTTTTTTATTATTATTTTGTACAGGAAAGCTCTTATCTGCCAGTTGTTGACAGGTTGCCCGGACTGGACAGTATGAGAGATGAAGAGCTGCTGCTGACAGCTTGGCTGCGGAGCTGTGGCCGGGTACCCGCAGATGAGAGCAGTGGGGGCAGGCATAGCACTGCACTGAGAGCAGCTGCCTTCTACCGTGCCCTCGTGACATGGCTTCTGTCCCTGGTGAGTACATGCAGTGACAGTGCTCAACAGAAGCTTCTGGTGACAAAGGACGTGCTTTTCCCTCCAGTGAAAAGGTTCTTGAAATTACCTTTTTCCAACAGCTGCAGGACAGCTCAGCAAAGGGGAGGTGATGTCCTAACTTGCCCTAAAATAAGTAAATCAAGTTCCAGCTGGATCACACCTGTATTTTACAAAGAGCATGGTGCCAAAAGTAAAATTAAAAAGAAATGTTTTCATTTTTTGTTTTTTTTTTATAGTGGTGAGCTAAATTAAAAATAATCAGAAGCAACCAGTGAAAGCAGAGGACTAATTATTGTCCTCATCCAAACATTTCTTTTGCTTTTCTCACAACTCGTTAAGAACAGATCCTTTCTGAAAGTCAGGGGAGCTGTAAGTAAGCGATGGTCTGTTTCATCTTAATTGTCCTTTGGTTCACACCTTTTTCTCTTCCAAAGAAAACCCCTTTTCCTCACTTCTATTAATCTGTTGTTACTCTTTTCTTCTAGGGGAAGAAATAAAACAACCCTTTTTCTTTTCCTTCCCCCACCCCTCCTTGGTTGTTGGCCTCATTCTTTTCCCTGCTTAAAGACACTGATGTATCAATTCATGCACTCAAGGTAAATTTCACCCTGAGTGGACAGCATGCACATGGCTTTTAAGTCACTTAAACTCCACTTAAACACTATTAATTGTTAATGATGTTCAAGCTTCCATTAAAACTTTGCTAACATTCTGTAATGTTAGTTCAGTACTAATGAAAATTGCCACTTGAGCAGCCCCAGAGTCTGAATCTTCCATTCAGAAAATAGTTAGCTCATGAGCAGCTGAAGTGTGAGCTTTCTTCCCTTTACTCCCACATAAAAAATCCTGAGCTCTGATTTGCAGCAGCTCTCTCCAAGCATGAAAGGGTACCTCAGCCTCCAGGGCTCAGTGTTGCCTGCTGGGACTGTAGGGTCAAATGTTGTGATGGACTTTGTGCATCCCAGTTTGTATGGCCTCATACAAACTGGGATAAAAGCCACAAATTGATTTCATAGAATTGTAGCATATCCTGAGGTTCCCAAGCAGCTGTTGGATAGCAGTGAGAAAGAATCTGCTTTTCTTTATTGAAAGAGAAATTCAAGCATTTTAGACCCAGATTAAGAATTTTACCTGCATCTGTGTAATCCCACTGTCTTGCTGGTTTCCTGGCACGTGTAAATCAACGTATCTGTATTGATTTTCTTGAAGATATGTTGATTTCTAACAGTGGAGAACATAGTCTTCCAAACATGAACATTCCCCAGTAGCAGAATTGCTATGGAAGTTCCTTTGCAAAACCACTGTTGAAAGCAGTCAAGGACTTGGTAGTGCTATTATGAGTGATGCCACTGACCCATACAGCACTTTGAAGATGCACTCCTGCCCTGTGCTAAGAACATATTTTTAAAGGCACTCATCTCACTGTAAATAGCTTTGTTTTATGTATGCAGTAAATACAAAGCTGTTAATTCATCTAGAGATCATAGCAATGGTATAAACCATGACAAGGCTCAAGTGCTTTCTGTATTCACCAGAACCCTGGCGAAGAATTGCAGTCCTGTAATGCAGACTTCATGTAGCACATGATATGGGTGAGGGGTCTTTGTCTTATATGGCTGCTTCTCTTGCTAGGCTGCTTTGATTGCCTGTGTGTAATGATCACATACTTCTTTGCACTCTTTCCCCTGCTACCCAGGTCTTGGGATGCTTTGCAGCACTATGATGCCTCCCCAGGCTGTCTCATTCGTCTTTTCTGTCTCTTTTTCAGCCCAGTTTCTGATGTATTCTGCTCTACTTTGGGCAGCATTATGAGCCAATCAGTTATCTATTCTCCTGAAGCCTTGTCTTTGGTGCTAAACTGGAATCTTTAGAAGATGGTGGGATTGGCAGGGGTCCCTTTTGGGTCTAAAACGAGGGGATAGATATGTATACTGGTAGATAGAATGCCTCTCACAGAGGAGTACGGGTGAGAAAATCCATCAAAAAGGAATTGCCTCAAGTCTATCTATGATGTGGTTTCACTGGGTTGGGACTGATAAGGCTTTGACCATTAGTAATCACTTATATGAGTGATGAAGTCTTATTCTAAAGCCTGTACTAGCTCCTCAGAATGATGTAATCAATTAGCATTGGTTTTTTGCATTAAGTTTGTATTATCTCATTACAGTTAATAAAGGCAGCACACAGCACCGCTGTGACATGAATGGGCAGTGTTGACAGGAACTCTGTTCTCAGTTCTTGCTTCACTTGGGAGGAAATGTGGGTTCTTCCTTTCACGTAGTGAAACTGGTGGAAGTTAGAGTGTGCAAGTTATGGGAGTCCTTGCTGACAAAATAAATCCTCTGACTTACCAAAGCCTACATGTTACTCCTATTTAATTTGTTGTTATTGATTTTCCTATTGGCTAAACCTCAGCCTAATCCACTAATCAAGTGAGAGTGCTCCCCGGATTATTATACGTTATGTGGCTCTACTTAAAAGCCACAGAGCAAGATAAGGGGGTTATCTTCAGCCTCTAAGTACAGCCATCTGTAAAAATGAAATTCTGTTCTAATGGATTTACAGGTACCTCCTGTGAAAATGAAAGGTGGACCCGAGGCTCCATTTCAGGCAGAATGTCTACAGCAGACCTGGCAAGAGGACGGATTGGCCCTGTCTGCTTGTGTAATGCCAACAGATGAATCTCCAACCCAGGACTTGATGCTGATTAAAGAAAGGTTAAAGAAGATTAAAGTAAGGAGCATTTAAATGTGCAAGTTGTGCAGAACTGCCATAGGGTGTTACCACTACCTTTCACTAAGAACCAGGCTCGGGTATGCCAATTTAAGCTCAAATCTCAGTGAGCCAGGATAGAAAAACGTAAGTGCTGCTCTAAATTAGAATGAAGCCCAGTACTGTGGGAACTGAAGGACTGCTTGCAGCTAATTGCCAGCTCAAGCTGCCCTCGGTTATGTTGTGCAGATGAGAAACCAACTCTATATAGCAGTCTTTTGTTTCTGCTGCTCATTAACTGTTAATGTGTTTTTTGGTGGCAGTAACCTCATGGTGCAGAGATTTGCCTGGGTCCAGAGGAGAACTATCTTTGAGATGTATTATGTTTTGTGCTGTTATTTTTTAACCACATGAAGAATGTGAATTATGAGAGGGAATACTGTCTTGCTATTCAAACTCCCAAGAGACAGGACCCAGAGAACGGACCTGAGATCCTGTTCCTTCTTTCCTGCTAGACTACAGTGTCTGTCTTGCACAACGAAACAAGCTGAAAGGTCTAGCACAAGCTGAATTCTAGCCTGTGTAGGTGACACGTTGTAACATAAGGCACCATATGAGCTTGTGTCCTGAAAACAGGGAAGATATGATATAGCAACTCTGGGCCATAATTTGTTGGTTCTGTTTCTTGACTCCTGATTTGGACAAGAAGATTCTCTGAGCATCTTGATGCAACTGTTTTGTTTTCCTCTTTTAAATACTGCTTGTTAGGTGCTGCCCTGAGACCTGCTGTGGCCTTGCTAATCCTGCCTGGTGCAGACACCTACACCTATGTCGTATTGATGGAAGATATGCCAGCTGCACTGGGTGAACAGTGATCTTTGCATACCTGTGATCTCCCACAAGTCACTTGCATGAATAATGTTCCTGTTATTGAATAGACTTACCTGAGATGCTTGCCATGTGCTTTGTTGGGTATGCAAGCATCTCCCAGCTCACTCAAAGCAACCCTTGTAACTTTGGCAAACTGGGGCTGGGTTTTCTATTCCTACCCAACATAATTCTTAAATGGAAGAAGAGGTGTGAACGTGTTTTGAAAACATGCTTAAGCTTTCCTTGTTCAGCTGCAGCAAGCATTCTTTGCTTGCAACTGTCTGCCTACGAGCAGTACAGACTGAATTTCCCATGATGTATCATAAAGTATGACAGCTGTGGCTCCAGTGTCACACAAGTGAATGATTGATGCTGCCAACGAATGTCGTGATTAAAATACTACTGGAAAAAAAACAACCCCAAAACAATAAGCAACTTTTCTGTCATTGTTCATCCATCTCCTGGCAAAAGCCCCAGGGCTAATGAGAGAGAGCACCCTGCTGGACTGGGCGAGGGCTTGATGTTGGTTGCTGTCTAAGGTGACTGAGTTCAAGAAGCATCCTGTGAAACAAAGAAAATGGAGGAACAGAGACTGACTTGCCTTCAGTCTGTTTGCCTTCTTGCTCTCTAATTTCAAGAGGGGAGTTGGCCAAGGCATCAGAGTTGTTGGGCACAGAGTGTGCTCAATGTATCCAGTGTCAAGAAATTGAATGACCTGCAGCTGCAAGCTCAGGTTGCGCTGAACGTTTGGTTGGAGCTGGGCAGGGTTGTATCACTGGTTGGCAGAATGAGCCATTTGAGTTTCCAGTCCTTGTATAAATTGTAAATGCTGTTTTACTGCCCTGTTTGCAGCCATGGACAGTGCTGTTGAGTTCAGCTGGTATGGGGGAGAGGTGAATGTGCCACTCATTCCAATGGTGTTGCTCAAAGCAAGAGTGTGTAACGGAGGTTTTCTCTCATTAGAAGCTCTACTGGATGTCATTGTGATAACAATGGCTTTTGTCAGTTTTGCTTTCTTGAGGCATTTGTAGAGCTGCTGCTCTTTCCCCAACAAAGATTTAAGTTGATAGGAACAACAGAAGTCCTTCAGAAATGTCAGCCACAGCAGAGACAAAGAGAAAACAACAGCAACTCGTTCTGTCTCCCCATGAGCATGGGTTGGAGAGAAACATGGCAGGCTTTACTTTCCTCACACAGGTCTTCAGTCCCGTGCTGTAGAGTTAATGTAGAATGTTTTAATGGTTGAACTGGCTAACAAAATTCTTCTGTTGTGACACTTACTGGTTCTTCTTGTCTCTTACGGCACAGTGAGAACCAGTTACTTGCTTTACCTTCAAAATATAAATAGTCAGGAAAATAACTGTTCCTAAGCATTCTTGATACACCTACTGACTAAAAGAATGCTGGAAGGTTCCCGTTGTTTTCTCATTATGATGAAGACACGTCAAGTAGTGTCAATTTTAACTGATAGCATTATGACAAATTGACGTTCTAATGTTTGCAATGTGCAGAGTCCATATTCAGTGCTGAAGATGGACACTCACACTACACACAACACATTAGATGCAGATACTAGGAAAGAAATGTCCAACTTGGTGTCTCTGTATCTCGCTGACAGCAGCAAAATGACAGTTGTCCATAGATTTTCTTCAGAATGCAATGTGAATATGATTTTACAGCAGACACTGGGTTGCTGGTCTACAAGCCTGAGGAGCTGATTGTATTGAGAGGGCAAGGTTTCACTTTCTGCAGCTTTCCTCACTGATAATGCCTAAGCCTGATGTGGCTGAACATCCTGAGTGCATCTTTCACACGATGCTGAATTTACCACTGGTTTCTCAGAGAAAAAGCTGTCTAAAGATCAGCTTTTGGCTTATTCGGTTACAATGGCATCCATTCCTTTATCGAGGGTTTCTGCAAAGTTTTATTCAGCATACATCATTCTGGGTGATGTGTTCATTTGCCTTGTTTTTATTTATTTAGTCTTCCTTCCAAACAACTGATGACAATGAGGCATATTAGAATATTCCTGCATGTTTTTGCTTTCTTGGGTTGTTAGAACAAATGCTTATGCACTCGCCTCTTGTGATTTCTGCATGCACATTGGGTTGTGTTTACAGGCACGTGTGATGGGAATTGGATTTGTACAGAAAATGCTTTCTAAGAATCTGCTCAGCATTCCCAGTGAGGCACGTTAGCACTGCACACAGCAGCATGGTGCTGCTCTGCACACGTGGATCATTTGATGGCTCTGGTGGTTTGGAAGAGCTCATGATCTCCATTGCTGGATCTGGGGGCTTTTTTGCAGACCTGCACTGCCTGAGCTCTCCTTTCTGGCTGCTGTAATAGATGAGGTAGAAAAAAATGCTTTGCATAATTGCTGCTTCTGTTCATTTCTGACTGGGCCTCATTGAGGTCACAAATTTTGTTCTAATTAGGAACCAGCTTGCAAGAACAAAGGGCTTAGAGGGGAGGTTAAATGATGGAAGAATGTAACAAAGCCGCGCAGTTTTCAATATTAATGCTATTATCAATCTTGAAAATATTTATTAATTTCAGGATTTTTAGTTTTTATCCTTATGAAACCCTTTGCAAATCAATGTTTTGTTGTGTTTGACTGCTTTATAGTCCTGTTTATGACATTTTCTCCCTCTTCAATATGGTATATAAAGTGATTCAGAATAATACTGGTGGGCCGACAGATGTCACAAGCCTGTTATTTTGTACCCATGTCTTACTATGAACTCTGCCATCGTCATCTATGATGGAGTTTTGTAGCTGAGCAGTCTGAGTGTATCAAGGACTCTGATTAGCAGTGCTGCTAACCATCCTCTGCCCTTCACCAGAGGGGTCTTAGAGACAAGTCTGTATGGGAGCACGTCCCCAGCTCGAGGGATGAGCCTTTCCATGCAGGCATGACTGACTGGTGTGGACAGCATTTGCTCTCAAGCTCCATCACCAGTGTCAGAAACCCAAGCAGTGTCAGGCCTTCAGTTCTGATTCTGAACCTGGAAATGGAAACTTTTATAGTTTTGCAGCAGAACTGGGGGAGGAGTGCATTTTCTGTGGGTAAGGGGCCAACTTTAGAAGGTCTGGGTGTTAGGGATGGAGGTTGTGATGGTTTGGGAGGCTACAAGTTAAATGAGGATTTGGGTTTGGAGGCATTGAAATGCAGTTGTGTGGTAAATGCACGAGGTTGGGATCGTTGCAGGTAGAAAGAGCTGCTGCAGGTACATGGTGCAGCACAGAGCAGGAAGCCTCTGCTGCCATCACTGATGCGTTTTAATTGTTGATTCTTTGCAGACTAAAGAAGATCCCCAAGAAAAGTCCATTTTTTACCAGAGGATTTCTGAATTTCTATCCCTTATATGGCTTCCAGATGTTACCTGGTGGAGAGCAGAACTGTGCAGTTGTTTCCAAAGCCACCTATATCCACTTCTTCCTGAAATTCCCTCTGCCCTGCTCAGTTACATCCCTACTGTTAATCCTGATCCTCAGGTACTGTATACAAACGCTTGGACTTGATATTTTTTTTCCTTCCTGTGTCCAGTAGAATTTATCCTCCTGCATTACAGATACTTTTGTTTGGTTTAGCTGAGGGCTTAAATCTCTTTGAAAGTAAATGCTTGTAAGCAGTGTTGATTTTTTGCACGGATGTGTATGAGATTACAAGGAGACAGCACTGCCTAAGGTCAGGTGGTTAAAATCGCTTGCCTAGAAGTGCCTGGAAGAACATTCACCACCTCACGCTATTCAGAAGTAGAATGATCAACTTTTCACTTCTGTCAGCTTAGCAAGTGCTCCATAAGAGGCATTCAAAGGAGTGAACCCTTCCCGTGATTCATGTGCTTTGTGCTAATTGGAGGAGCTCATTCCTCACTGGATATCAAACGCTGCTATCAGGGCTCTATCCTACATAGTTCAAATATTTGCACAGGTTTTCAAAGAGTCTGTGAACACTACCTGATTTCTATGCCTTTTGAGGAATTGTTCTACTTTCCCATGACATCATCAGCATTGAGTTCATGATTTTTTCCCAGAGTTCCTAAATCCTGAAAAAATCAGGAGATACAATTCTAGGTAATGGTAAAGACTGCAATTCTGGTTCACAACAAAGTTTGGTTCTGAAAATAATGTAGCACAACAACTTTCCAGTAATCCCCCAACCTGATTGAGATTGCTATTACAATGTGAGAATCAATGCCATAAAGCTTAGGAGCTTAGCAGTGCACTTAGCAATTTGCCTAAAGGTTTATCCCACTTCTGTGAAGGGAGAGGAGGCTTAATATTGTTGATTTGCAGTCACTGTAGCTTTCAAGTACAGGCAAGTGCAATAAAGCAAGCTGACGTTCTCGTAAAAGATAAATCTGCTGTATACTTGTAAAGCATCATCGAAAACTGGGCTTTTATGCAAATCCCCTATTAGGGGAATTATAAATCATTAGGAGTTGAACAGCGAGATAGCTGGCACTTTCTGGAGGTGGATCTTTGCCTTGATGCCATTGAAAGTGGAAGTCAATTTAAAGGCCACGTTCTCTTTCTATGCTCAAACGCTCCGTGCCACCGGGGTTTCCAGAGCGGTGTTACACTGTGACCACTGTGTATCACAGCTGCTTAATAGGTGTCTTGCAGTTAAATAGGAAGGCTGCCTTCTCTGAGCAAGGCACAATGAGCCGGATTGTCAGCAGGCAGCAGCTAACCCTGATGTCTGCCCTGAAGCTTCACAAAGTGCTACCAACTGAGAATGTTCCCCAGCCTCATTAAAATACCACCAGTGTGAGCTCTGTACTGACAATTCAGGATCGTATTTTTAACTTCATTGGTTTGAAGACTTTGTTCAAGGCCTGTGATTATAGGTTTTCATTTTTCTTTATTTTGGGGTGATGTATACGAACCTGAATTGATCAAGCACTCAGTACTGGCTGTTGGAAAAGCAAGCAGTGAATGCCCAGCTTGCTTCATGTGAAGCACAAGTCCTGAGGAGCGGAGGAAACAAATGGGTGAGGGAGGAGGGAAGAGGAACACCAGGTAGAACTGCTGTCTGCTTGTGTACTGACTAACTGTGCGTGGCTTTACAAGCAATTGGTAGTAGTAATTGTAATTACATTTAAGCACTTTGTTGGAGTGTAAGCCAAGGTCTTGTTCTTAGCCAATTGTTCTAGTGTTTTCTCTTCAGTCCGCTCTGAACTTGGAACAGGTTGCTTTTTTTCTTGCTGTCTTTCTTTCAGGCTTTCTTATTTATACAGGATATACAGCCTATCAAACTGCAGTAATTGACTTTAGATATGAAGAGTAAACTCACAGAGCATGAAAACCCCGGGTTAGGAATGACAGCATCCTCATAGATGACGTTGACTGTGACATTCCTTGTCAGCAAAAGGAGAACTGTGCCAAAATGACATAGAGATACTTCTTGTTAAGCCTTAGAATGCAAACCTTAACCTTGGGGATACAGGAGATGCATGGCCAGCACTGGTGCTCGTGTGCCTCTTCTAATTTGTTTCAGTACTGTGTGCTAGGTTCTGTTGTACTCTTCACAGTGTTCTGGACCCTGGGACTCTTGCCCAGGGTGCAGCCCTAACTCCCCCCCAGCAGCATATGTATGTATGTATATGTATATGTGTGTATCTAAGCTCCAGAGAAATGCTTTTGTTGTACTTCCTGGGGATTAGTTTCCTATGTGCTCCTTCTTCAGTTAGTTTCCCTCCTGACTTCCAGCACAAGGGTTTTCATCTTCTTTTTTAGACAGTAGTGCCAGTTAAAGTCAGGTCTACACAAAGTTCCCTCTGAAGCAAAACTCTGTTGTTGTTGTTGTTATTATTATTATTTTAAGCAGTTTTGGCTAAGCATGGATAAGAATTCCAGAACTGGATCAGGACACCAAATTTGCCTTGATGTTGCAACTCAATGCTGTGAAAATCTTTACATGGCAGAGGCTGAACTAACAGGAAGTTTGATGTGTGGGTGAGGGCTTCCAAAATGTGCAGCAGCTCTTTCATGTGGTATTTCTGTAACACAGATGCAAACTGATGGGATTTTCCTGCTGGCTGGCAAGTAGGTGGCACCTGTGTGTTACCAGAAGATCTCTACGTGTAGGTCCACGCAAGACTGAAACAGCAACGTTGTTCTGCTACGTGGTTGATGAGATTACAAATCACTTCATGCTATGGCATGTGTTCATCGCTTGTTCCTTTGTGCATTTATGGCACCTAATGTGGACGTGGGTATGTCAGTCTTTGAAGACAGAGTGAAGGGCATTTCTAAACGGTATTCCAGATCCACTGATGGTGACAGTGTGCACAAGGTGACCTTTCCAGTTCAGGCACTCAGCTTAAATCCTTGTCTGGGATGTTCCAGCTCTCTAAATTGCATGGAAAGAGGAAAGCTGCTCCATGTGAAACTTCAGTGCCAGCAACAAATCTCCCAGGAGATGCAGCAGAAACAATGCTTGTGCAACATTCAAAGCAAGAGTGGAAAACGATCTGACAAACTGAGATGCCTCAACAGAATAACCCGGGTCATGCAAAGAAACTTTCTGGGTTCTTTACTTTTGCCTAGAAATGAGGATTCCAAACTAAACCTTTCCACTGGTTCCAGAACCTTCTAGAGGAGAAGCTGGAGGTGGAAAAAAAGGCATAGAAAGGATTACTTTCACCTGTCACATTTCCTTCTGCTCCTCTCCATGCAATACATCCTGTAGGAAATGTACAGCTGTTATTTTGTATTTTACACTGAGCCTGACAAGAAGACCCTGAGCTGTACGGTTTGGATACTGTGATATTGTTTCTGTGCTGAGCATCGTGGCTGCTGAGCCTGATGCCAAAGATTCGAGGACTTGATCACAGAGCTGCTGAACAGAGCGTGAGAGCGCTGGACAGGTGCATGAGGGAGGCAGAGGACCCAGAACAGCACCTCCACATCTGTTTGCCCAAATGAAAGAGTCACTGGGGTGTTGAGACTTGCATCGTGGCACACATCGGCCCCTATGACCTACAGCTCATCCAGAGTGAAGTGGTAAAACAGGAGATCTGTTCATCTTGTCCTTTGTTTTCCAAACTTTGCTTGTGTCTCATCTTGACCTGAGTTGGCGTAAGGGTCCGGCTTTTGTCTAAAGCACCTTGAATCTGCTGTGCAGCCTGATAAAGTCATCTCGATAGCTTTGGGGAGAGCACTTACGTACATCTCGCACGTCATTTGGCTGATGAGTCCATGTGGAGATGAGTCACCTGTGGGTGAGACATCCTGGGGCCTCTTCTATATGCATTTATATAACTGAATCCCGAGCTACACAGCTGTATCTCAGAGGCTTCACGAGGCAGAAGTGGGGAAGTTGACATCCTGCTGCTAGCTGAGCCCTGATAGTTTGTCATTGGTATTTGTAAGTAGAAAGCCTTCACCTTTTGGATGGAGGAAGGCCTACAGTGATGTCTCTCTGAGTTGATATAGCATGGAAGACATAGCTTGGGGAAGAATTAAACCATTATAGATGTTCACTTTTCCTGAAATTTGGAAGCTCACATTTAAATTGTGGCCATTGTCAATTATTGCAGAAGACAGCAGTTTAGAAGAACCATCAAACTAATGTGCTTAGCCATTACTACTGTGTGTGATGGGCAGAAGAGCTGGAAATGAGTCTCATCCTTTTCTGTGTTTAAGACATCTTTGTTTATTCAAAAGGGAGGTAAGAGGAAGTGGAATGCATCTTCACACTGTCTGCAATGCAGTCACCAGCACTGCACGTTTTCAGTGACAAACTCCTTAATTAGCCCTCTCTGTCCTCAGCCTTTCTGCTGCCTGGCACATTCCTGCTGTTCTTGCCTGTTTCCTGCACTGGATCTGGAGCAATCTGAAGTGAGCATGCGGAATGGGAAAGGAAAGGTGTGAAGAAAACAAACTTTGTGTTAATCTGGGTTGCACAAGGAATACTGCACTGATGCATTTGGATTCAAGACAGTGGAGAGAGCAGAAGGTTTGAGGATCATTGAATCGTAGAATGGCTTGGGTTGGAAGGGACCTCAAGGATCATGAAGCTCCAACCCCCTGCCGCATGCAGGGCCACCAACCTCCACATTTCATACCAGCCCAGGCTGCCCAGGGCCCCATCCAACCCGGCCTTGAACACCTCCAGGGATGGACGGGGCATCACAGCCTCTCTGGGCAGCTGTTCCAGCACCTCACCACTCTCTTGGTATAATAGGATAATGCAGTCTCACTCAAGTGTATGATGTAGAGCATCACATCAAAGTAAGCCTTGCCTGTGCGTTAATGCTTTGTCTGCTGCTGTGGTTGGTGGAGCTGAAAGGAGATGTTATATATGTACAGGATTCACAGTCTGACTTTGGAGGTAGTGGAGGATGCAGCATCGTTCTGAGAGGGCTTTGGGTGCTGCCTCAGTCAGGGCAGCTGAGCAAGTCTTCGTATTGGAAAGCACTTTGTGTGCAAGGGGATGAGATTGTGGAGTACATAAATTCTTCCTATAGTTCCTGTTTTCCTGCTGT